CTGCCCTGGGAGCACAGAGACGGACACACGGGCGGGTGGGACAGACGTGGGCCCGACTCATTTTTGACAAGTGCAAAAGCAGGTCAGCGGAGGAAGGACAGCTGGGACCACTGGACATCCACAGACTTAAAAAAACGGAAGAAGAACCTTGACCTAATCTCACACCGTATCCAGAAATTAAACTGATCACAGATTTAAATGTAAAACTTTGAGAAGATGACGTTTGAGAAACTCTTTTGGTACCTAATCTGGGTGAAGAGTTCTCAGATATGACATCAAAAGCACTATCTATGAAAGAAAATAATTATTTTTGGAAAAAAGTCAGTTCTCACATCATCAGAATTCAAAACTTTCGCTCTGCAAAAGATGTTCTTAAGAGGATGAAAAGACAAGGCACAGATTGAGAGAAAATATTTGCCACCCACACATCCAACAAAGGAGGACTCTCGAAACTCAACAGTAACAAAATAATCCAAGAAAATGAGTAGCAGATATGAAGCGATTTCGCCTGAGAGGGTGTTTAGATGGCGTAAAAGTCCATGAAAAGATGCTCAGCATCACTAGCCATCGGGTCGTCGCAAATTAAGGGAAATGCAGTTTAAAACCATATTGAGATAGTTATTAGAACAGATCAACCGAAAAATCACGACCATAGCAAAGGCTGGTGAGTGTATGTGTGGCATCTCTCACACGTCACTGGTGGGCACGTACAATGGTGCAGCCTTCCTGGAAAACCGTTTGTGAGTTTCTTTCAAAAACTAAGCGTGTGCGCACCGCACGACCCAGCAGTCAGGCTCCCGAACGTCATCCGGAGAACGAAAGCCGTGCCCACCCAGCACGTGCACCAACGTCGACAGCAGCTTCATCTGCAGCAGCCAGAACACGGACACGACCAGAGCGTCTCTAGATCAGTGGGTGCCTAACAGACGGGTGCACCACAGCACGGGCTGCGACTCAGCAATTACAAGGAACGAGCGTTTGATGTCCCCTGCAGCTGGTTACATCTCGAGGCATTCTGCTGAGTGGAGGAGAGCCAGGTCCTAAGCGTCACTTGCCGTGTTGTTCCCGTTCAAGTACAATCCAGAAAAGGCAGAGCCGTACAACAGAACAGATCAGTGACGGCAGCCCGATTGGCGGTTGCCAGGGCCGAGGATGGCGGAGGGAGGAGGCCGGGTCTCTGTGCCGGGGGAGCGCGTCTCCGCCTCGAGTGCAAGGAGGGGCCACGCGAATCCGCGGACGTGAGAGCGCGTAGAGCTGTACACGCGCTGTGCCAGTGCCGGGTCCCGGTCTCGATGTCGTACCGTAGTTACGTGAGACGTGACCATTGGGAGAAATGGGGGCCAGGTACACTGGACTTCTCTGTACTGTCTCTGCAACTTCCTGTGCATCTAAATTATTTCGAAATACAAAACGTATAGCGAAACAAAAAAAGTTTTACTCGTAAGTATTTTGTGTTTCTTACTGCTAAGTGGAATAGGTTTTTTCGAATTTCGTATCCCAGTTGTTTACTGCCAGTATATAAAGTACACTTGATTTTTGCGTGTTGACCTTGTGTCTCGTGCCTTTGCTACCGTCACTTATTGGTCCTTTTGTTAACTTTCTCACAGATTCCTTAGGATTTCACATGCAACCAGCGATGTGATCTGTGAGTTTAGTTTTATTTCTTGCTTTTCAACCCTTGTGCCTTTTGTTTGCTTTTTCTTTTTTTTTTTTTTTTTCCTTTGCTGGCCCTTCCTCAGTGCTGACCAGACGTGGGCGCCTTGCCTCGCGCCCAGCCAGCGGGGAACGAGCTCATCGTTCCAACAGTAAGGACGATGTTAGCCGTGGGTTCTTCATAGATCCCCTTCATCAGACTGGGAAAGTTCCTTTTTTATAGTTCAGTGAGACTTTTCAACCACGAATGGATGGTGACTTTTATCAAACGCTTTTTCTGCATCTATGGAAACATTCATGTTTTTTCCTCCTTATTTTGTCAAAATGGTTTTCAATTTCTGTTTTATTGATGTATTTTCCTTTTGTACATTGTTGGGTTCGACTCGTATGGAAAACACCTCTGTGCCTGCTGTGCCCAGGTGTGTGGGGATTTTCCCCACCCCCAGCAGCAGCCGGGTGTCCCACAGTTCAGCTCAGCTGCGACGGCGTCTGGTCCCACAAGACCCCCGCACACCTCGATGTGCTTCTGGGCTCCGACGCTTCTGACGTCTGACCCAGAGTTGCCTGTCTGCTCACGCTGCCCGCCTCTCTGGTCTCGCACGCTGCCCACTTTTCCCATGAGCGCCCTTAGCAGCTTAGTCATAATTATTTTAAGTGTCCAGTCTGTTCATTCTAAAACCGCTGCCATATCCGAGTCTGGTTGCGATGCTTCACGTCTTGGCACTGTGATTTTCACCGTTCATCTTGTAATTTCGGTTAAAGCAGGATGCGCTGCGTCCGGTGCTGGCTCCTGGCGAGCTGTAAGGCTCTGCATGCGCCTCTCTCTCTAGTTTGGGGTGGCAGCTGGCGGCCACAGTTTGCCCTGTGCGTCAGTTCTCTGTGGATCTGAGAGCAGTTGTTGATTTTCAGCTCAGTCAGCCTTTTCCTTGTTGCGAGGGCCGAAGTGACAACTTCAAGCTCTTACACGTCGGCCCAGAAATGTGTGATTTCTCTTGGACCCGAGGATTATTTAGAGGTGTGTTGTCTGAGATCCTTGGTATGATTCTCTCCACGTTTATTGTGTTTGGAATTTGTGGAGTTTCTTAAAATCTGTACATCTATGCCTTTCACCAAATTCGGAAAGTTTTCCGCTTTTTAAGAAAAGGCCTTCGTCCTGCCGACTGTCCCTGTTCTGTTGTGGGTTCCAGTCACAGTGCGTTAGAGCTGAAGCTGCCCGCAGATGCCAGAGTCACCCCCCTTTAGCAATCTCGTTTTCCAGTGGGATTCGGTCATTTCTGTTACTCGAAGGTGAAAGTTCACTAAGTCTTTTCTGTGTCGTCTTCAGTTGGTTATTAAGCCTGCACATTAAATTTGTCGTTTTAGATATTATATATTTCAGTTCTGAAATTTCTGTTTGGCTCTCCTTATAGTTTCCATTTACTGCTAAGATTTTTTACATCTCTATTCGTGATAAGCATTTCATTACCTAATTGAACATAATTATAATGGCTGCGTTAAAGTCTGTCTGATAGTTCCGGCGTCTGGGTTATTCAGGTTGGTTCTGTTGATCCTCTTTTCCCTCGAGGGCGAGGGCCGTTTCCTGGCTCCCCACAGGCAGGGTGCCTTTGGGTCGTGTCCTGCACAGGATGGGTGCCGTCTTGGGGGCTCCAGATCCTGCCGTATTCACCAGCGGAGATGTGGGGCTGTGCTTGGGCACAGTCGACTCGTGAGACCACCAGCCCTGTCACGCCTGCACCACTGGCGGCTCAGCCCTCAGAGCGGGCGGCGTCCAGGGCGCCCCACGCGCGTGCGGGTGAGGGTCAGACAGCCTCGAGCCTCCTGAGTGCGGGGCAGCAGGAGGCCAGAGGAGTTTCAAGGGAAGCGCGTCGTGAAGCAGGTAGCTTGGCTCAGGGCCAGCCGCTCTGTGCCTCCGCCTCGCCAGCTGGCTCCTGTCCGCGTGGAAGGAGACAGGGTGTGCGGACACAGTGGCAGCGACAGCGGAGGGGACAGGCCCGGCGCCTCCCCAGTCCCCGCTGCGGGCAGGTGGGGGCGGCGAGCCCCTCCACCCCCGAGCTCCGGGCGTTCGGACCCTGGCCTCTCGCCTGCCTGGGCAGAAGGGCGGCCGGGGCCGAGTCCACGCCCGCACCCCTGCGCCCGCGTCCAGGAGTCCGGGAGGACGGCGCCTCGCTCGTCGGCTCTGTGCCGGTGGGGAAGGCGTGACTCCATCCCCGTGAACAAATGCTGCCTTTTCACTTTAAAATGGGGAGGTCGACTCAACCTTCACTAAGGGAAACTTGCCCCTCGGTCCTCCCTGGGGCCTGTTGGGGACGGGCGGGAGGTAAACCGGGGCCCTGCCCTGCCCTGCGTCGTCCTCTGCCCTCCCCTCTTCATGAGGCCGCGGGCCGGCGCTGTCACCGCGTGCCTTCCCCACGGCCTCCCCCTCAGGCCCTCCGCACGCTCCCTGGAGTATGGCACCCAGGGGACCCCCCCACAGGAGCAGAGGACCCAGGACCGGCCCCACGGGTCTCCCAGCACCCAGGTCCCGTGGGACCCTGGAGAGCTCGTCCCTCGTGTCACGGGGGGCATGTTTGCACCACCCTCCATGCTGTTCAGTGAGCCCCGCCTCCGTTTAGCTCCATTTAGGTCGACACCAGGCGCCCCCAGACCCAGCCCTGTACGCCCGCCAGTGCTGCTGCCTCTGGTGGCCCGGCGCGCCTCCAGCCAGGGGGCAGCCTGCCTGGACAATCAGTCCAGAGAATGCCCGGGGGACGCAGGGGGACACGGCGGTCTACCGGTGCCGTCCGAGTCGGAGGCAGGGTGCGGCCGTGCAGGTGTGCGGAGTGGCCCGGGCGTGCCAGGCCCATCTCCAGAGGCCGGGAGCCGTTGTTCCTCTGTCTCTCCCAAAGACTCGCTTCTTCAGAGACGTGTCTGCAGCATAGTGGGTCACCTCATCAGGAGCAGGACTCCTCACGCGGACGTGACCCAGATCCTCACTCTGGTGCTGTCCCCGGACAGGCGGAGCCACGTCTGGACAGGGGCCATCAGCCTGGTCCGAGGGCCCAGCATCACCGGCACCGGAACCGAGCAGGGCCACTTTGCCAGCAGTCTGAGTTTGAATCTGGGGGTCAGCGCTAGAGAAACGGCCTTTTTTAACTCAGAATGTTAACTTTAAACACGCGTGGACGCTTTCCCGTGTCCGCGGCGGCGGCCACACCGTGTCCCCGCGCAGGTTCTGTCTGCCGGGCCAGGACTGAGCTGTGTGTGTTTCCTCCGCAGGGCGAGTCGGTGAAGTACTTTCTGGACAACTTGGACCGGATCGGCCAGCTGGTGAGTACCCCCCACCCCACGACCGAGCGCGTCATGGAGCGTCTGCGTGGAGACCGAAGCAGCCGGTGACACGGCCTGGTGACCTTGGCCGGCGCAGTGGCCTTGGTGGCCTTCCTCTGTGTGTCAGGGTGGAGGGGTGCACGTGCTCCGTGGGGACGGCTCCCTCGTTCCCATGGGGAAGTGTCACTGTCTTGCTCGTGAGCCTTCAGACTGCTAAGCGAGGTGTCGGGCAGTGTCTCTGAGGTCCCTCCGCCCAGATCCCCATAAAGGGACCTGAGCACGTGGACGGTTTCCTTTCAGTTTTCATTGTGGGAAACTCGGGCTCCTCCAGCATAGAGTCGGGGACTCCTCACCCCACCCCGCAGAGGCGAACAGGTCCTCGGGCCATTCAGCCAGCAGGGGTCCACCGTGTGTCTCTGGAAGGCGGGACCGCAGCGCGGTCATCACCCCAGCGCCACGCTGCATCTGAGGTTGGCAGTCGCTCCTCAGAGCCACCTCGGGGCCCCCGGCCGGCTCGTCGTTTCCCGCGGGTGCTGCTCATCTTAGCAGTTTGAGCCGCTGTCCTCGCTGGGTCGGGACGTAGCCGTCGCTCCATGTCACCCACGCGTCTTTAAACCTGCGGGGTCCTCCCCCCGTCTTTCGTGTTCTTTCGCTTCATCCGTGGAGTCGCTATAGCTCATTTCTCCCCTGGGCCCCTCACGTCGTCCGGGCTTTGCCCTCCACCCGCGTGTCGGCGAAGCTGCACCTCTGTGCCCTGCCCGCCCTGCGCGTCCGCAGCTGGGTCTCGGACACGTCATCGTCCCTGCTGGGTTTTGGTGAGGCTGCTGCACAAGTGGCCTCGGGCGGAGTCGCAGGCGTCCGCAGCGCCAGCTCGCGGCTCCGTGAGACGGGCTGCTCCTGCGTGCGGTGGTCATCAGGGGCTCCCGGGGGTGACTCACGGAGCGCGTCACGGACAGCATGTAAACCGCGCTGCCAGGCCCACGTTCGGTCAGCTCCCAGCAAGGCTCTGGAGCGACACGCTCTGGACGCTAGAAAAATCGAAGGTAGCTTTAGTGCAGAGACAAGGTGGTTAGTTTCCTGTGGAGAAGAGAGTGGTTGAGATTCCACGGCTAACGCCGAGATTCTGGTAACTTCCTCGGCCTCCGTTCATTCTGAAAGGAGCCGTTCGATCCCTTCGCTGTCTGCTTCGTGGTAAGTCTCTCGTTTGTGAGCAAAGCCGCGTTTGGCGTTCGGTTCGACGTCCCGCCGAGGTCGCCCGACTGTGCCTTCCACCCCGTCTTTTCTTCTCTGTTTTCGCCCCCCTCAGCCTCTCCGTGTCCCGTGTTTTACAGAACTACTTTCCCAGTAAGCAAGACATCCTGCTGGCGAGGAAGGCCACCAAGGGCATCGTGGAGCATGACTTTGTTATTAAGAAAATCCCCTTCAAGATGGTGGACGTGGGCGGCCAGCGGTCCCAGCGCCAGAAGTGGTTCCAGTGCTTCGACGGGATCACCTCGATCCTGTTCATGGTGTCCTCCAGCGAGTACGACCAGGTCCTCATGGAGGACAGGCGCACCAACCGGCTGCAGGAGTCCATGAACATCTTCGAGACGATCGTCAACAACAAGCTGTTCTTCAACGTCTCCATCATCCTGTTCCTGAACAAGATGGACCTCCTGGTGGAGAAGGTGAAGACCGTGAGCATCAAGAAGCACTTCCCGGACTTCCGGGGCGACCCGCACCGGCTGGAGGACGTCCAGCGCCACCTGGTGCAGTGCTTCGACCGGAAGCGGCGGAACCGGAGCAAGCCACTGTTCCACCACTTCACCACCGCCATCGACACCGAGAACATCCGCTTCGTGTTCCACGCGGTGAAGGACACCATCCTGCAGGAGAACCTGAAGGACATCATGCTGCAGTGAGGCGCAGGCCGCGCCCGCCGCCCCCGAGGGCCGCAGGACACGGACACTGACTAGCTACTGAGCCCGGGCTGGCAAACTACTGAGAACCCCCCGGCAGGTGACCGAGCGTGCACGCTAGCGACCGACTCACCAGCGGGCCTCGCAGACGGCTCTCCTCTCTAACGCGCACGTCTTCAGTGAGGCCGACTAACCCGAAAGCTTTGCCTAGAAGTAGCTTGTAGGCGCCCGGTGCCACTGCCACCAAACGCAGAGCCCCGCCCCACCCCACCCCCGCCCCCCTGGGGGTCTCGGTGCCACCTCCCAAAGCGAACCAGTTGCCTTTGACAACTCCCGGGCCATTTCCTGCGAGGCCCGGGCGGGCGCGTCAGATGAAGCCCAGGGCCCCTCTGCGGGGGGCAGGAGCCCCCAGGCCGGGCCTGCCTTAACGCCCCCAACGGCCCGTTCTCCCCGCCTTGGCACGGCGGGGCGGGTGCGGGGACGGCGAATGTCCGCGTGCTCACGGCGGCGCTGGTCCCTCCACCCCCGCGGCACCCTCTGCTGCCTGCAGGGGCGGCACTGAGCACGGCCTCGCGGAAGCCGCGGAGAGCTTCCTGCTGCTAGCTGGCCACTGCGCGGGCCGGTCACCAGCACAGCTCTGGCTGGCTCACAGCCGCTGGGCCCGCCCCCCACAGACAACCTCTCAGGAGCCGCAGCGCCCAGAGACACCTGTCCTTCACACTGCCACCACCCCGGTGCCTGGACAGCTGTGCCTGCTGTCGGCTGGGCCCTGCAGACTGCTCTCATCTGCAGGGGGCTCTGGGCCGGCACAGCCGACACTCAGGTCGCTGGTCCAGTTCCTGCCGGGGCCTCGCTGTCTGTAAAAACACAGCGCGGTCCATGCTGTGTCTCACTCTACTAAAAAGTCTGTCCCGCGTGCTTGGGGCTCGCCCCAGCACTGAGAAGGGAAGGCGTGTCCTCTGTAGCTGGCACCGGGGCGTCGCTGTGGCTCGAGCACGCGTCTTAGGCTCTTGTCCTCAGGTCACACTGCCCACTCCTTCGCATTGCTCAGCTCATTGTCCGCAAGCCAGGTAGCTTCGATCTCGTGGCAGGTGCTGACCAGAAGAACGTGGAGGACAAGACCTGCTCTGAGTCACCCCTGGCGTCCCCTTGCTGTAACAAGGGGACCACGGGAAATGCTCTCTGTGCTCAAGGCTGCACGGTGCTGTCCGCCAGGGTCTTAGCTCTTTTCTTGGCTGGAAAAAAGTTGCTGGTTTCGTACTGGTTCCTGTGGCTCTTCGCAAATGACCGGCTGTGGCCCAGGGTCAGGCCGGCGATGTGGCTTCAAGGGGATAGGGCTCTCAGCGGGCCCCGTCAGGGCGGGCCCGAAACCGCAGTTCCCTCTGGCGGCGGTGGCAGTGCGGGGTGCCCTTGCCGTCACCGCGCTGGGCCTCAGCTTGGTCAGGTTCAGGCTGTCGCTTGGCAGCTCGGCGAGGTTCTGGTTCAGGTGGAGCCTGCTGCCGTCACCTTTGGTGGACCCGGTGGCTTTGAACCGCCTCCTGGCCCCGTCCGTGAGCGCCTTTCCCCGTTGACAGTGTGCTGTACTTGCTGGTTCACATTCGTGTAAGTAACGAGAGACAGTGCCGAGCTGTCTGGGAGGCAGGCTGGGTGGCCCCGAGGCTGGGGCCCCCGACCAGCACGGCCCCCGGCCCCACACGGCTCTGCTGAGTGGCTTCTGCGGTTCGTGCTGGCTGGGGAGGGAGGTGACTTTGCAAGGCTGAGCTAAAACCATTTACAGCTTTTCTTACACATAGATCGTAGTCATTTGTCTTCAAAACCTTAGGCTTTTGTAATTTTTTATTCTAATTTCACTGTTATCCTTGATTATTGTCTTTTTTATTGAGATATTGGAGAAGCAGGAGATAGTTGTGCCTCATCTATTATTGCAAAAATGTAACAATAAACTTCCTCAAAATAAGATCTTTTCTCGTGTACTATTCTGTTTGTAGAGAAATCGTTTCAAAGCTTTTTGAGTTTCCGCTTGTAATTTATAGAGCTCTCTAGAATTCTTATTCTTAAAATGCTTTATTTCTTGGAGAAAAGCGAGTCGGTTATTTTAACTCCAAGATCAAAAACTGACCTCGAAACCAGACTGTGAGTTGAGAAGGACCAACTCGGGGTCCTGGCAACAGACATCGCCTCGCTCAGCGTGTGAGCTGGAGGCACCGTCAGAACGGGCGTCCCGGTGAGCCGCACGCCGAATCCGCACTGGTGGGGAGGGTCTGCTTTGGGGTGTACCCACCTCCAGTTTCTGGGTGTTTAGTAAAATGAATCCCTAGTTTTTCTTTGCTCAATAGAAAATACCACTCAGCGTTCAAAACCAATTTTTAAATTTTCAGTTCCAAAAATAACTGTAGAGCAAATAACTCTCTAATCCTAAACGTGTCGAGGCTCATCTTCTGATTGTCACAGTTTTACTTTCACGTGCTAAAGCCTGACACAGCAGAGCTGTCACAAAGACCGTTTTGAAGGAAGGCCTCTGGGACACGACTTCGTGACATGCGCGGGGCGTGCACGCGTGCAGACACGCAGGTGTGGGCGGGGGGCGTCCTGCCGCTCTCGGGTCTGGAAGCCCGAGGAGACGGTCCCGGTGACCAACACCGCAGCCGTGCGGGGGCCGGGGGAAGGCACGGGGGCGGGCAGGACGGGGTTCCGGGGTTGTGACCCTGGGGTGACCTTCCCAGCCACAAAATGCAGCGTGAAGGGGTCCCAGTTGTCAGCACAGCGCATCACGCCCAGGACCCTTCTAAAAGGAGGATCTGCATGATGGTCAGTGGCCGTCACCTGGGCAGGCCCTCCAGGCTTCTAGGATTCTGTGTTGAGTGTGGGGAGGACACTATTCCAGGGTCACAGCCACCGCGTCCCCCCTCGCTGACCAGCAGCCGCCTCAGGGCCGTGGTGGCTTCTGTGATCGTGCCAGCGAGGGGCGCGGTCTGGCCAGGCCTTCACGGCAGCCCCCTGTTTGAGGGCCTTCAGTGCCTTGTTCCCCAGAAGGCACAAGGACATGCTCGGCAACCTCGTTCTGACCGACCCCTGGACACTCGGGAGGCACTGCTCGGAGAGGGGACAAGCTGGCCCTCGGCCGGCTCCACGCGCACGGCGGCCCAGGGTGACCGTGCCACGCATTTCCGTCTCACGCCCAAGCACTGCCCGCCCGGAGCTGGGCTGGCTCCCTGCCCCCGCCCCCTGGTCCAGCCCCAGGGCTGTGCTGGGCGTCCTGGGTCCCCAGAGGGCTGACACTGCTGTGTCACAACATGCCGCCCAAGCCGGGGTCCACAGACAGCAGTGAGCTGACTGCGAGCAGAGGGGGACCGGGGCGGGGACGCCACCACCGTGTCCACAGCCACTGCTGTGTCTGCCTCCTGCCTGCGGCCGAGGGCGGCGGGTCCCAGGGCCTGCCCCCGGGGAGACCTGGACACGCAGCCCGGGCGCCCGAGGTCGGGAAGGCCCGCCCGGCCCGGTCTTGTCTGCACAGTGCCGTGGAGCCTGCCCCGGTGGACGCCCTCCAGACCACAAGCAGGCTGCTCGCTGGAGGAGCGCCCTCGTGCCCCGTCCCGCCTGGCACCAGAGTGGCTCCTGGGGCGGGACACGTGCCACGGCAGTTCTGCTGACCCCGACGTGGTGACGGCCAGGAGACCCTGGGCACCAACCCCAGGTCGTGGCGGGAAGGAGCAGGGCAGCACAGGAAACGGTGAGCACGCAAACGTCCTGGCCGGGCCGAGCTCTGGCAATCGGTGACCCCGTGCGGCTGGGTGGGGGAGATGGGGTTGCCAGCCGGGGAATCGGGCCTCCTGCAGGGTGAGGTGGCCGGGAACGGCCGACCTGCAGCAGCCACGCCCCCAGCCCCGATACCGCGGCCGGCAGCGCCCCTCTGTGTCAGGTGCGTCTGCATGGAAGAGCCGGGGCTGCGTTTGCCCGGCTGTGAACTATGGCCACGCAGCCCACAGACAGGCCGACCAGAGGCCGCGGGGCCACAGAGCGCGCCGGGCTGCTGTGATGGGGCAGGGTCCCTCCCCATCCTGCCTCCGCTTCCTCGCGGGCGCCGGCTCCAGCGGCCAGGACCTCACGTACCACCCAGTGTTCATTCGACAGCAGACGTAGCCATTTTCGAGCTAGTGACCGCCGCGTGGCGGGGATGCAAGGCAGCGGCTGGGCAGCAGTGGCGGCTGGTGGAGTCGCGGTGGGAGCAACGCCGTGGACGGCGTTCGTATGAACGGAAGGAGCCGCCCCCGGCGAGGCAGCCCTTTCCTCTCGTTGCATCTCATCCGCGGCATCCGCCTGGCCCTGGGAAGCACGGGACGGAGTGGACCCATCTGGTAAATAAGCCTTCAGTGGACGCCAGTGGCAGGGCCTGCGGGGCAGAGGGGTCTCCGGGTCCTGGACGGTGAGGGGCGCTCGGCCCACGGACAGCCCCTCAGCTTATCAGGCTTCGCCCCTGCTCAGTCCACGCCGTGCTGGGCTGTGCTGACAAGAGCTGTGTGCCAAACGGCCGCGGCACGGAGAAGCCGGGCGGGAAGGGCCGGCAGAGGGACAGGAAGGAGGCGGTGACTCGTGCCGGCCTCTCCCCCCTGCCCCCCGCCCCCCGCACAGGCCCCCGCGCGCCGCGGTCCTGCCTCGCCAGAGGTGTCAGAGTGACAGCAGCATGCCACTGTCCCCGCCACCCACCGGAGGGACACTCAGGAACTGTCCCGGTCACTCCCAGGGGACGCCGAGCCTCGGTGTCATCGAGATAAGAGATCCCGCCTCTTGCCCCTCCCCCACATCTGTCCCACTTGTACCTTTAGGACAGGTGGACGGAGCCACCACGAGCCCCTGCCTTTGACGTCAGGGCTCCTTTCTACACGCTGGGCGCTCACGGTACTGTCCCCTCACCGTCCAGGAGCCCCAGACCCAGCTCGGTCCCCCGTTTCTGTGACTCCCCTGCTTAACAGCGAGGGTGAGGCCTGTCGCCTGTGGCCACACTTCCCCAGTGACAGGTGAGACGGAGTGGGCACCGAGGGGGGGACACAGCCACGGGGCGGGACACAGCCACAGGGGGTGGACACAGCCACGGGGGGGGGGACACAGCCACAGGGAGGGACACAGCCACGGGGGAGGGGGACACAGCCACAGGGGGGGACACAGCCACGGGGGCAGGACATAGCCACGGGGGCCGACACAGCCACCATGCTGCCCACCCGGCCGCCCAGCCACGCGCTTTAGCCGCTCTGACACTCCGCCAGGCGACAGGCCGAGCCGCCAGTGACACTCTATTTGAAACGCAACTGTCACGTTAGATGGGCGTGGTGAGAAACCGTGAGAATAAGTCGCCTTCTGGCCGAACGTTGAGGACGGAGGGGTTCGCTCGGCCTGTCATCCGCGTGCCGGGAACGGGCGGGAGGCAGCGGTCCGCGGGCACGGCTTCCGGGCCAGTCCCCGCTGGTCACGGGCCAGTGAGCTCCCGAGTGACGCCTGTGTGAAGCGCAAGCGTGGCACCGTGGTGTCCGTGGAGCCGAGGGGGGCGTGCTGGGCTCGGCCGAGAGGCGGCACCGGAGCTGTGCCTGGGCGGGGCTGGCGCGGACAGGCTCGGCGGGCCAGAGACGTGTGTGCGGTGGCCCCCGCGGGGAGCAGACGGTGGGTCCGGCCGGCTCAGGGCCCCAGGTGTGCTGGTTAAAATGCTGGGGTCACGCCCCTTGGGGCGGCCTCATGTGGCCGCGGCCGGCTTCGTTTCTGGTTGGTTTGCTGAGCGCCCAGCAGTCACTTCAGAGGCCGCGGGACACGCGCTCACGGGGCGGTGCCTTCGGTGGCTGAGGAGGCGGGGCTGTCGTGTCCGGTGGCCTCTCTGGTGGGCGAGCGAGTCCTTGGCTCACCCGTCAGCACCGAGGTGAGGGGACTGGACTGAGCATGTGGTGGCCCAGGACAATTCTTGGAAATTGCCTTTTAAAATAACTCCTGACACACACTTGTTCCCATTCGCCTCTTTCCCCAAGGAGCCGAGTCCAAAAATAAACCTCGGTTATTCCGGGTTCTTGTTAATCAAGGTGCTCGCTGCTGCCCCGGAAGGGGTCTGTTAGCCGCTCTCCGGGTCTGCTGGACTCCAGTGGCTCTCAAAGCCACAGCCCCTCACCGCGGAGCGGAAGGGTCAGTGCAGAGCTGCCCCAGGCCGGTGCCCAGGGCCGTCTCCTTGGTTCCCCTGTGTCCAGTCACCCCCTATGGGGTCAGGCTCATCTGGCAGACCTGGGCCAGGCGTAGGGACACAGGCCGCGGCCAGGCCTGTGCTCGCCCTGGGACCCGCAGGCCACGGCTCAGGCCCGTGAGGTGCCTCGGGAAGCCTGTCCTCACGGGACAGAGCTCTTCCTGCCGGGGACGCGCCCTCAGTGCACAGACAAGTCCGCGAAGCCCCAGCAGCCCTGGCTCCGTTCGCCTTGGCATCTCGGCCCAGGGTGCTGGCCACCCACCCGGGCCACTGGGACCTCAGGCCGTCTTGAGTGAAGGTGCCGCAGCTGCCAGACCCTGCTGGCCACCTCGGGACCAGGCAGAGTGGGGCGGGGGCAGCCCAGGGGTCAGGTGCAGGTCAGGGGCAGGCCTACCTGCCCGACAGCATGCTTTCCCGAGACCCTGGACCCGGGCGGGGGCGGGGGCAGAGGCGGGGGGACACCAGCATCAAGCCAGCAAACATGCCTGGGCCCAGCGCAGCTCTGCAGACCCGCAGACTCGGGCCGGTGACCGAAGCAGCCAGCCTCCTCAGCCGCAGCTCGGACAGGGCTCCTGCTGGGCAGGGCGGTGTTGAGGACACGGCTGGCAGGTGCAGGCAGCACCCGCTCAGAGCTGGGGTCTGTTTGCAGGAAGAGCCGCCTCCTCTCCCCAGGGATGTGGGCCAGCCGGCCACCCTGGCCGCCACGTCCGGACAGCAGCTCCTCGTGGCCCCGTGCGAGGACCTCCCTGCGCACGTCTGTCCCCAGGCACCCCAGACCCCCTTTCAACATGGCGGGATCTAAGTTCGGACTCTCGGCTGTAACATTAGCTGCTGGGCTCAGCCGGCGTGTGTGTGTTTTTTCTTTAAACCCCTGTGGAGATTTCGTCCATCCCAGAAAGGCCTGAATCAGATGTCCCGTGGGGCGGTGTTAGCAGAGCCACATCCCACCCGGCCCCACGCTCTGGACTGTGGGGGCAGGCGGCCCGGTCCCCAGCCAAACTCGCCTTCCTGTCCCGCTGGGCGTAATCGGGGCGGGGATGGGGGCGGAGTTTCTCCTTTCACTCACCTGAGGACAACTTTGCGCCCCAAAATCAAAGAAGAGGAAGAGGGTCTCGGGGCTGCTGGAGGGGACCGGCCACCTCCGACCGGGCCTTGCTTCTCACCCCGTGCTCAGAACAGGGCACATACGACTCCCGGCCGAACCCGCACTCGGCAGCAGCCCCGCGTCGTGACCCCAATGCCTTAGCTCCGCGTGAGCCGTGAGCCCGTCCTCCTGGGCCCGTCGGCGAGCTGTCCTCCCCCTCGGGGACCTTGGACAGACAGAGCTAAGAAAGCGGCAGTCAACCTTGCACATTTACGAAAACGATCTGTCCCCAAAAGTTTTATTTTCAAAACGTCCCTCCCAGCAGCTAAGAATCTCTCTCCGTCTGCCCCTGGTGAGGCCGTGGAGGCAGGTGCTGCCCCTAGCGGTTTGTCCCTTCCCGCTTTGGGACGCTGTTGTGGGACGCTCGCCCCAGTTGAGAGCCACAGGCCACGGGGCACGAGTTCGGCCACGACCCCTGTGGCATGCGTGGAACCCGAGCCTCTCCCCCAGCCGGAGCCAGGCTGCTAGTCCTCGTCCCCCGTTACATAATTCCAGTGATTAACCCTGAGCAGAAAACAGGTAAAACTGTGTGGCGGCTGTCACGGCCCCGCCAAGCAGCAAACTCCTGGAGCGGGTTTTCCCGTCTGCCCTGCTTTTCAGGAACCTCGCCATCCTCGCCGAAGCTGGGGGGCCTGGGTGACTATCTGAAGCGCGTGCGGTGGGACTTGAGGCCCCGCGTGGGAGGCCGCCCCACGTCAGTGTCTCGGAAGCTGGGGCCGAGCTGGACGAGCGCCCACCACGCTCCGCTACACCGCGGCTTCCTGGGCTACGCGGTGCTGGGGTCTTAAGCCACTGCCCACCACGCTCCGCTACACCGCGGCTTCTTCCTGGGCTACGCGGTGCTGGGGTCTTAAGCCACTGGGTTTGGGTGGTTTGTCGCAGCGATAGAGGCCCAGGCCCTGACCTCCCCGTCCCCATGTCACACTCTCGCGGGTCTGCCGGCTCGCTGGTGCCTCTGTGGAGCCGTGCAGGAGGCCTGGGCACCGAGGAGCTGCACCTCTGCCGCCCGAAGCCCAGCACTACGCACCCTGTGCCTCTTTCCGAAGGGCCCCCTGGTGGCACCGGCGGCTTCAGGCTGCCTGCGTGGGGGGCCCCTCCTCTTCTAGATTTTATCCTGTAGTTTTTCTTAAAAGGCCGCAAGACTGTATACCCCGCAAACCGTACGAGCCCCCCTTGCAGAGGGGACGGTAGCTGTGACCCGACTCATCACGCCACAGGCGTTTCCGCCGTCGGGACCGGAAGTCCCTCTGCCTGGGGCGCTCACGGAGCAGAGACTGGGGCGTTTACCGTAGAAACAGGGTCGCACCGTCGGGAAAACAGCACCCGGGTACGCGCACGAAAGGCTTAAAGCAAAACCTAACAAAATCAGAGAAAAACGGCCGACTCCACAGCCGCAGCTGGAGATCACGACGGGCTTCAGCCAGCTGCCGAGGATCGAGGGACAGAACTAGACGAGAAAACGGGAGACAGAGGGTTCGAGGGACACTCCCCGTCCGGACCCCAGGCCACCTGTGTCAGGAACTGTCCCAAGAAAGCGGCCACCTGTTTCGCCACCGAGTGACAGCAGGCGGGCCCTGCCCGGCTTCCCACCTGCGTCACACGCACCCCTGTCCCCCAGCACCGTCCAAACACACAGCAGACCTCGGCACACGCCGAGGTGGGTGGCAGCCACCGGAACGTTCGCGGAGCTGCCCCGTGCAGTCCTGAGGACCGGAAGGCCATCGGCACCGCAGGAAGCACCCTCGGGTGGGGGGTGCTGTCAGCAGAAGTGAACCGCTTCACTTCCCTTGGGGCAGGGGAGCCAGCTGTGAGGCTGGGAGCCGAGTTCACAGTGAGTGGAGGCCCCGTCACCCCAGCTGTAAACACTGGAGGGGCTCAGAGGCCAGAGGCTGCAGAGAGCGCGCCCTGCCTCCCGCCACCACGGCTAAGTCCAGGCTGGGCACTGGGAGCAGGTGGGCCGCCCGACGACGACCTTCCTCGGCTTCCCTGGGACCCGCGGCACCCTGGGTGGCCAGCGCCAGGCAGTGGGGTCCTGGGGAAGATGGACATTGGGCAGGTGGTGGCTCTGAGCTAACTGTCCTCTGCCTTCAAGTGACAGGGAGAAGAGCCGGCCCGGGACAGTTTGCGCACGCTCAGCCTCTTCCTCAGGGAGGACAGCTTGTCCCCCAGAGCCCTGTGCAGCCCCCCGCCATCCCTGCCTCGGGCCCGGCCCGGCCCGGGCACCGCGAGGCGCCCCGCAAACATCTCCCACCGGGCCTGCGCGTCTACCACGCCGTCCACGCGGGCCAGCTCCTCCCCCGTCACCTCCCTCTCCAGGGCCCGGATGCACCTCGCCAGCCACCGTCCATGCTCTGTGATGGCCTCCGATGCCACCAAGGACCCCAGCCCACCCCCGGGGTCCAGCTCTGCCGCGAAGGCGTGGGTCCAGGTGTCGGGGGACAGGGGCTCCGAGGGGCTGGTGCCTGGCTCCGAGTCGCTCTCACAGCACGAGCCCGAGTCTGCGCTGCTTGGCGGCGTGTCCTCCGACGCGGCCGGCTGTCTTGCCTCCTGGCCCCGCAGCGTCTCCGCCACGGCTTGTGTCCAGGCGTGGAGCCTCTGAGAGGGAGACACAAGTGGTATTCTGTCTGCGGTCACTTACCCAGCCAGGGAGCCCCTCACCTAAGGGGACCCCGCTGTCCCCAGCCACTCAGGGCAAGTGGCAGGCTCATGACGCAGAGTCCCCACGAGCGCCTCTGAGGACTGGGGCCCGACGCAGGAGCCCAGCGGCCAGGCGAGCAGTAGTCACCGCCAAGTTATACAGAGCTTACAGTGAAATTTTACAATTATATTAAAAGCAAAGGAAATAAACAAGGAAAACTCACATCGCGTCCTGCACTTTGCTTTGCTCCGACCACTGCTCCGGGTTGTCCCCTGTCTGTGTGGTCACAGTAACACGACCCGACCACTGCTCCGCGTTGTCCCCTGTCTGTGTGGTCACAGTAACACGACACTGCCCACCCCTGCCCAGCCCACCTTTAGTGACAGAGACAGACATCCTGGAACCTCAAACACAACAAGATTCATTTAAAGCTTTTGGCTTGAAACTTTCGGTTTTAAAATTAAGCTGAAGCTATTTGATTGATAGACCTTTGCCTTTATTCAAATGAAAACGTTTTTAACTCATCCAGTGTTTTCATCCAAAGATGGGCTTAAAGAAAAAATAGACACCATCTGCCTTTGAACTCAGAGTGGAGCAAACCTCCCGCAGGCGAAGGTCTCCCGCAGTGGAGTCGCTGACCGCTCCTGGGCCTGCGGGCAATGCCTCGTGCCGCCAGCAGAGGGCAGCAGGGCCACGCCGGCCGCCCACAGGACCTGCTCTGTCCGTCCAGTGGGTCCCGCCCCTGAGGGCCCTGCTCCTCCCCAGGCAGCAGTGAGCCACGCAGAGGGGTCGGGGGAGGCCCCTTAAAGGTGAGGCCCCGTGAGTGAGCACTTGGACTGAGTCCTGCCTGGGCCCTGGGCCCTCTCCGCCCCCAGCGCTCCCTGCCATGGGCCCGGCGCCGGGCCAATCTTGGAGAGGGGCTCACGGTGACACTGTGCAGGCCCGTCACTGCGCCTGGAGCTCTGCAGACCCGGAGAGGGACATGGTGCAGGCCCGTCACTGCGCCTGGAGCTCTGCAGACCCCGCCCACCACCCACCTGTCTCCAGACCACAGGGTCCTTGCCACCGGCTCCCTGGAGGCCGCCCAGGACTCCGACTCCCAGTTCCCCACCTGGGGGCGGCTCCAGGCCCAGGGCGCAGCTCACCTTGTACCTGTCCACCAGCTTGAAGCCCAGGATGTGCTGCAGCTTCCGCAGGCAGACGGGACAGAGGTCCAGAGGCCGCCGCAGGGCCTCGTCCAGGCTGAGCACCCCCTGCATGACGCAGCTCAGCCAGCGGCAGCTCCCCAGGCCCAGCAGGTGGCAGAGCTCGTGGCACGTGACCTGAGGGAGCAAGCCCACCACTGTCCTTGTGGCCTTGACCCCGGACACCCAGCATAGCCCCAGGGCATCCGGGCAGTCCCTCCAGGACCCTGACCCTGGGCTGAGGCCCAGCGGCAGGAAGAGAGAGGTCCAAGCACTGACTGCACGGTGCCGGCCGCCCGCCCTGGGCTGCGGGGACGGGGGAGCTGGCGTGGGCGGCTCTGGGAGCCGCACTGCACGGGGCTTGAAGTCAGACACAGATTCGAATCCCAGCCCTGCACTGGACAGCCCTGTGACCTCGGCAAAGTCCTCGGTGTCTCTGAAGTGCAGGCTCGTCCTCGTCGTGAGGGCTGGACACAGGGCTCCGTGGCTGTCCACTTGTGTCCTTCCATCTGATGCCCGGAGCTCGCCAGCACCCCAGCCCTCCCGCCGTCGTCCTGTCCCCCATGTCCTGCTGCCCCCTGCAGCCCCCCGGGACCCCGGCCCCTGCCCACCTTGCAGCACTGGACCGTGCCCAGGGCGCTGAAGCACAAGCTCTGGCCTCTGTCCCACAGGGTGGTCGTGGAGTCATCTGCCGCCGTCCGTGCTGGTGCCAGGTCCAAGGCACTGGGCGCCCCCTGCAGCAGCTCCCCTGAGAACCGGGCGAAGCTGCAGACGCCCACTTCTGGGGGAGGCAAAGGGGAGGGGCTCCAAGCGCAGCCTTGGCCCCAGGGGCAAGGCCGCCCGTGCTCAGGATGCACAGAAGGGGCTCCAGGCGCAGCCTTGGCCCCAGGGGCCCAGGGGCAAGGCCGCCCGTGCTCAGGATGCACAGGTCCTGAAGGCCCAGCTCTGCCACTGTGTCTGCGTGACGGCCTTGGGGCAGAGCCCAGCCTGAGGGGCCGGGACGGGGCTGCGAGCCACGATGGCTATTTGCATGTAGGCGAGTGACAACCAGGAGGGGCTGGACACCCTGCTGTGCCCGGGGGACGCGCCAGCTCACCCTGCCCGGGGAGGTACGAGCCGAAGGTGAAGCCCCAGGTCTCGTGGGGGTAGAGGTCGCACCGCGTCAGGCCCAGCACGCACAGCGCATCTCCCGGCTTGCTGTCCCTCAGGAAGTTTAGGATGCCACCTGCAGGGGGCGGGAGAGGGAGAGGCAGAGGGACGTGAGGGGAGGCTGGGCACCCCTCTCCCAACCCCAGGCCACCGCGGCCACAGGACGGGCCGAGCTGCCTCGGTGTCCGATGGGTGGTCCTGGAAACGCCCATGTCCTATTACCTAGAACCCCAAGTGTGACCCCTCACGCGCCAGAAGGGACGTTGCAGATGGGATGAAAATGGGAAGGTTGTTCTGGGCCCTCCGGGTGGACCCAAAGTGACCGTGTAAGAGGCAGGCCGGGGGTCGGAGCAGCCGGAGGGCACCACCCTGCCAGCTGTGTGCATGGAGCGTGGGCGAGTGGCTGGGAGACGAGGGACCCCGAGGATGCAGCGACGTGAACCCAGAGGAGAGGAGGGGGGGGCCGGAGAAGGCGGGGACGCGGGGGGTGCCCGGCGGGCCAGAGGCCGTGAGGGCACCGGACAGACGCACGGGGACCCAAGGACGGTTTACAGGGAGAGGCTTGGACCCCAGTGGGGACGGCGGCTGGTGACAAGGCCCAGGCCATATGCTCTGCAGCACAGTCAGAGCTGAATGTGCAACGAAATGTCCAGTTTTACTAATTTCAAAGCAAAATCGACAGATCGAGTTGATTTTAATAATACTTCACTTAACCTAACACGGCCAAATTAATATTTTAACGTGTAATCGAATGTTTAAAAATTAAAAGCTCGTTTACACTGCTTTTCATACGGACTCTTCATCCCCGTGTGCTTCCCGCACTTAGCACAATCCCGCCTCAGACCAGCCGCGTCTCATGTGTTCGGCGGCTTCGCGTGGCCCGTGGCTGCTGTCCTGGACAGCACGGGTCTAGGGTGTGACCTTGGAAATGAGTGGCCGAGGTCTTTAGCTCTGAGAGGCCAAGGAATTTTAGCTCTGGAGGTGACAGTGATGGTGACGATGGTCATAGTGTGGCTTGTGCCCCCTAAAACGCAGGTTGGAGTCCTAACCCTTGACACTCAAAACGTGACCTTATCGACCGTCTTTGCAGAGTGATCAAGCTAAGATAAGGTCACTAAAGCAGCGTAATCCAACGTGCCTGGTGTCCTTAGGAGCAGGGACGCCGACACACAGGGAAGCAATGATGTGGCCATGGGGAGAAAGGAGCTACAAGCCAGGGAACCCCCAGGATGGCCGGCCACCACCGGAAGCTGGAAGGGGCAGGAAGGAGTGTCCCCTGAAAACTAGACCCGCCGTCCCACTGACAGGGCCCGCACAAGCCAAGTGGAGCGCGGGAACCGCTTCCAAATGCGTGTAAGGTGGGGGAGCAGCCGGCTACGGGGGGGAGCAGCCGGCTACGGGGGACAGCGAGGAAGTCGGGGGGCTGGCAAGCTCTTCTACACCCGGTCCTGGTGATGACTGCGATGTGTTTGTCAAGACTCACGGAAATGTTACGCTCAAAAGGAAGAATCTGTCTACAGTAAACAATGGCCCAACGAACACGACTGAAAATATCGGAGACTTAACCACGGGACAGAGGCAGGGAGGGACCCCGAGCCCACAGACGCGGCCGAGCGGGTTCTGAGACGGGGGAGGGGGAGGGGGAGGGGGGCCCGCCCTGGC